ATTTGATGTTAGCATTTGTGCAAGAGAGTAAGTCACGCGATTCGTTTCTTGACGTGACATTGGCTTTTATCTTATCTTTATGTTCTTGTTTTTCTTTCTTAACAATATTTTTTTGGGTTCCTCCGTCAAGCTGATCTCCGCTTTCTCTGCACGCTTTTTGGTGGCCCATTGAAAAATTGCTAATCTTGTTGTTTTGTTATTTCACATACGAGTATATATTGTTGTTGTTGTTCTTTTATTTAAATAAATTCTTTTATTTAAAATGTTAATACCAAAGACTGTACACAAAAATATTTTTCGAACAGATAGCAAAAAAAAAAAAAATTAAAAAAAAACACACTTATAAAGAGTTTACTTAAGTACACAGTCGGAAATGATAGAAAAAAAAAACATTTTTGGTTTTTTTTTTTTAATTTTTTGGTTATAGCAAAAATAAGTTAAAAATATATTATTTGATATAGAAAAATTTCTTATGTTTACTTATTTCAATGTAGTTGTTTATATAAATAGTTTATAATTAAGTACAATATATTTAAATTCTTTTAAATAACAATTAAATAATAGAAAACCTTGAAATAGTTTCTGCTATAAATAAAAAGGTTTTTAGTTTTTAAATATAAAAATTAAATTTAATTATTTAATAAATTTTTTTTCACTTTTAAATGTTTACATACATGCATTAGTATTATAATTATATGTATGCCTCTGACTGGTTCTAGCTTGATCTACGCTCTACTACCCACTATTACGAGGTTTTGTGGATTCGAAAAGACTTTTTAGCTAATTGAGGAGGACGCGTTCCTTCCTCCACCATAACTAATTAACTAACTATGTAGGCAACTAGGTAGAAATTTATTTCGAGGAGAGTTTCATTAGGTTAGGCTATCCTTAGAATTCAAAAAGATTGATTGACCCTTTCCGTATACCTATGCCGTATAAGAACACAGACTTTCATTAATTTTATGAATAAAATAACAGATATGATGTATTAATAATGAATATTACATATCTATAAATACAGTCGCTCCGATTTTTTCGGCTAGGTTCACCTCTTAAAGTTCTTCATGTCTACGTGCTACCTAACTGATACCTAACTGAACTGAAAATTATGAAACATATGAAAGCGTTACAGCTCCAGCTCTAGGACTACATCAATTGTAGTCATACTGTTGTTTTTGTGACCCATGTCATTCCAGTGTCCCTGAAAATAACATATGGTTCGTTTTCCTTGTGAACTATTAAACTTTAACGGAAATAGCTATCAACATTTGGAAAAAACTTACTTGGTTCGCTTTCCTTGTGAACTATTAAGCTTTAATGGAAATGGCTTTCGAAATTCGGTCATCCCTGGGAACATCATTTATTCCTGTTTTTCCTAGGGCATCTCTGGTATAAGAACTTTTAAATTTTAAAAAAATTATTGTTGGAAAATCTATAATTGAGAGCGAGCCAGACTGATTAGTTCGATTTTCTATAAGGAAATATGTCAATGTTGCCAAGCCACTTTTATCTACTTCACAGTATCTCTAAATCAGGATAGAGATTCTGGATACAGAATGGTTTACCAATTGACGATAGCACTTATGTAAAGATCGTATTGCTTTTTTATTTTATTTTATTTTTTCTTTGTACTTTCCAATGCTTTCCAATCGTGTTTCAGTATGTTCAGAGTAAAGAACTTAATAATAATAATGATAAAATTTAAAACAGATTCTGTTTTTTCTTCCACGTCACAAATTCTGTCCTGTGGCTTCGTCTTGTTGATAAGCCTAGGTTTTTGAACCTATATACAAAATTTGTTTAAATTTTCTTTCACAATTTTAAATCCAAAATTAGATTCATTTCTCCGGTCAGAATCTAATTTTGGAATAGGTTCTATTTTTTCTACCAAACCATATTTACACACATACACCCGTTCAGTTTATCGCATTTTTTTTCTTACCATCCTAACTGTTAGGCTTTTGGATGATGCTGGTGACCGTATATTGTGTTCAATATAAAAAATTATTTTCCATTAAAAAATGGAGCAAAGTTTTTTTTCCCATAAAATACAATTTTTTAAATCATATTATTATTAAATGAATCAAATTGAATTTTTTTAGAAATAATAATAAGTCTACATTATTTGTTCTGTGAAGACATGTAAAGTCACGTCTTTACTTTTATTCAAACTGCACTGACCTAGAACCGATGCTAACAAGAACTGGAGAATTGAATTTTCTTTCTAATCGACATATTGATTGATCTAAATATTGTGAAGAATAATACTATAGTTAATGATTCATTAAATTACCTTACTTTAAAACAAGTTAAAGACATACCTGCTTAAAAACATTTTAGAAAAGAGCTATCCGACATAGGCTTTTTTCTTTCAGTTACATTTTACAAAATAGAACAAACAATTTGATAATATGGCTTTGACGCTTTATTCCCTGCAATTGGGAATTACTAAGAGGATTCCCAATTATCACTTACAATCCTAACAGATTATAAATAACTAAAGGTGATTTATATATTATCATCAACAGTGCTCAAATTTCTATTATAATCTTTATGAATATAATATATATATCATATATATATCATTATATATATCAATATATAATATATATATCATTAATAACATTTGCTTTAATTGCTTTTTAAAAAATATTTTTAAATAGTTTTTTAAGCTACATAAAATTTTTCTGTTTATCTATGAAGAAAAAGTGAAATTATCTTATCTTTTCTTAAGTTGAACTAATTTATCTACTTATCTCTCGGGTCTCTTATCTCACCACTTGAATGTAACTTACACCAAATAAACAAATAATTTAAATTGCTCTAAATTTATATAATAATAAATACTTAATAATTTTTTAAGAATTATTTTTATATATATATTTTTATAAATTGTTTTTTTTTATATCAATGACTCAATAGTTTAAGATCTGTGCTATAAAATGCGACATACATCTGCGAGGTCTTGGCATGACTAATAGAGATACTTTCGCATCTGTTAAACAAAAGTACTAAAATAAATGCATTTAAATGCATTTTGGATTTAATTAAATCGAGTGGTAGACGTTGTAGATTTAGTATCTAGTATTTGACAAGCGAATACATCGGTTTAGAAAATGAAATTAATTGGATTATGTCCAACAGTACGTATGAGAGACATAAGAACAGAAGGGAAAAAAACTATTTAAACTTATGCCATAGTCAAATCGGCAACAGTTAAAAATAAAGAAAAAAAACTAATATTTTTAAAAAAGCTATTGACACGATTTAATGTTTAAAATGTTAATGAAATTATGCTAAACAAAGGGGTGTGGTATTAGGTATTGCGTAGTATGTCATGTCAAAATCAATTATTGCATTTACTTTTCCCTAGAACGTTAAGTTCTGCTTTAGATCAACAAAAATATTATAATTATATATATATAGCCGATTTATTTATATACTAAATGCAATTATTTTATTCACTTGCAGGTATCCGTTTCTCTTTGGATGTATCACGTGATGAAGTTAAAGCCTTATCTGCCTTGATGACATTCAAGTGTGCCTGCGTCGATGTACCATTCGGTGGTGCTAAAGCTGGTCTTAAAATCAATCCCAAAGAATATTCTGAACATGAATTGGAAAAGATTACACGTCGTTTCACACTTGAATTGGCTAAGAAAGGTTTTATTGGACCCGGCGTAGATGTACCAGCTCCTGATATGGGTACTGGTGAACGTGAAATGTCATGGATTGCCGATACTTATGCTAAAACTATTGGTCATTTGGATATCAATGCACATGCTTGCGTTACTGGTAAACCAATCAATCAAGGTGGTATCCATGGACGTGTATCTGCTACTGGTCGTGGTGTTTTCCACGGTTTGGAAAATTTCATTAATGAAGCTAATTACATGAGCATGATTGGTAAGCTCGATATATTGAATATCATTTAAATAATGAAATTAATATACAATTTTTTTTTTATTTGTTCAATTTAGGCACAACACCTGGTTGGGGTGGTAAGACTTTCATTGTACAAGGTTTTGGTAATGTCGGTCTACATACATGCCGTTATTTGACACGTGCCGGTGCTACTTGTGTTGGTATCATTGAACATGATGGTTCCATCTACAATCCAGAGGGTATTGATCCAAAAGTAAGTATGTGAAACCGAAAAACATATGTGAGAAAAAGTTCTGCACTCTATGATTAATAGGTAGTCAAAGAAACTACCGATGATGGTCTTACATTGTCTATTTTCAAATATGTTATCCAGTCACATTATCTATTATATTCTAAAACTTCTTAGTAGTCATCTATTTAGGCGTAAATTAACTTGATCTTACACTCATCAGGTCAATACACATGCTGTAACTTTGTTGAAGGTAGCATACTCCACATCACCAAAAACAGTTTGGGAATTAGTTTGGAAACGTTAATCAGACCATTCTATTAAACATTGTTAACATTTTGTGAAGTTGAAGTCCAATGTCAAAAAAAATTCACCTTTATTTTAAATACTTCAGTATGGTCGTTCCGGGTATTTTACAAAATAACTATATACATAGTGCTAAGAATATCAGAGGTTTGACAGTTAGAACCTGCGTAATATGACAAGAATTTTGTTTTTATTCTGCATACAAAATCTGTATGTATTTAAATATAGATTAAATATAATCTGTTTATTATAAAGAATGGCTTTTACGAGGCTATATCTAGTGTTTTTTGTTATTTTAGGCCGCAAGGATCTATAAGGCAATTAATATGAAAAGAATTATGATGTGGATAGGTAATGGTAATAGGTAGGTAGGTAATGGAGAGAGGGGATTTTTTAGAAATAACAATGGATTGAGGGAGGGATGAAATTCAAGGCTTAACAGAACAGTGGTTATAGTTGTTGTTGTTTTTATAACCCAAAGCAACTTGTTGGGATTAGTCATCTGAATAGAGGATTGATTCCAGAATGTAAACCCAACCGTTTCTAGAACTTCCTGGTTATAGTGATTTGATTGTAGAGTGGCTCCAAAATATAGATCCGACTGATTCCTCAAGCTGTGGGTTATAGTGATTAGATTTGAAATACTGTTTTGATTTGTTTGAACAATAGACTGGGAGCACCATTAAGCATCTACGAAGTATACTAAAATATATGTTATATAAATAATTTTTTATTCAAAGAAAGCATTTTTAATTTTTATATGTTAAATTAACGACCTTAGCCTAGTACTAATAAAAAAAACGTATTTTTTTGTTATTATTTTAGCAATTGGAAGACTATAAAAATGAACATGGTACAATTGTTGGTTTCCCTAATGCTAAACCTTATGAAGGTGAAAACTTAATGTTTGAACCATGTGACATCTTTGTACCAGCTGCCGTAGAAAAAGTTATCACCAGTGAAAATGCTCACAAAATCCAAGCTAAGGTATTTAATAATATTTCAAAAATTATATTAATAGTAAAATTAAATAAAAAAATTTTAATTTTGTTTTTATTATAGATAATTGCTGAAGCTGCCAACGGTCCAACAACACCTGCTGCTGATAAAATCCTTATCGATCGTAACATTTTAGTTATTCCAGATTTATATATTAACGCTGGTGGTGTTACTGTATCATTCTTTGAATGGTTGAAAAACTTGAACCATGTTTCATATGGTCGTTTGACATTCAAATATGAACGTGAATCCAATTACCATCTCTTGGGTAAGTTGTCGTTTTACAATAAAATTTAAATTTCTTAAGCCACAATATCGCATATGATTCATGCGCGCTATTATAAAAGAATTTTTTGTTATATCATTTTTTTAAAATTACTTAATAATAAATGACCATTTCAAATCATTTTAATTTTAAAATTTTAATTTTATTTAGTATAATTTAATATGTATATTTTTTTTATTATTTAGTTACAATTATATATTTATCACTACTTTTGGCTGTTTGCTATACACACTAAAACTTATATGAATTTAAAATTTTAAAAATATATAAATTTATTATAAATATGTTTGTTTATGTATATTTTTTTTTTTGTGTTAACACACTGTATTTAGTTTATACAAAAATATATAAATATGTTCTTAATATCAGCTAGTAATACTTTATTCTTTTTTCCGTTTCTCTTATACCAATATAGCATCAGTACAACAGTCGTTTGAAAAATTTGTTTTAGACGGTACAGTTCTTTTAAACTTTGCTAAACTTTACTATATCATTTTGTATTCATCAAATATTTTTGTTAAATTTTCATAAGTAATTTTCCTTTTATATGTGTTTTTATTATGATTATTTTTTAATCATTCATGAAAACATAAATCAGTTAATATTAATATGAATTTAAATATTCCTGTAAAAAAATGTTATTTTATTTTTATGTTTGAGTAGTCTTGGGTACCCTTCTTAAAAACTTGTAGCTGAATAATTTAATATATGAAGAAAAAACATATTTTAAAAATAATAAATCAAAAAGTAAGTAAAGTATATGAAAATATATATTCTTATGACTATTATAACAACTATTAGATATCACTCTGTTTAAGTTTCTAGTACGCATATTTTTCTGCCGAACTATAACTCAACCTATAGCCTGTTTAATTACTATTACATTAATATATATATTTTCATATACGATATAAAAAGATATTAATAAAAAAATATTGAAATAAAACCACAATTTTGAATATACATATATTGTATTCAGCGTACAAGTTTTACTTGATATTGTTTAATTTTTAAATAATAACTATTTTTTTCTTAATAATTTTTTTTATTATTAGTTTTTGCACTTGGCATGTTTTGCTTTATGTATTTTATATGTTTTTAAATTTTTAATTATTTAAATTTTATTTAATTACTTAATTGAAATAAGTCTTATTACCACCATCCTCATGTTTTTAATGCTTTGAGCTTTAGCAATTATTTGTATTTTCATTATTTAATTTCCAACTAATATTAATCGTACTTTTTATTTTATTTGTAATATAGAATCTGTACAAGAATCGTTGGAACGTCGTTTCGGCCGTGTCGGTGGTCGCATCCCCGTTACCCCATCAGAGGCATTCCAGAAGCGCATCTCTGGTGCATCTGAAAAGGATATTGTACACTCTGGCTTGGATTACACAATGGAGCGTTCTGCACGTGCCATCATGAAGACAGCTATGAAATACAATTTGGGCTTGGATCTGAGAACTGCTGCTTACGTGAATTCCATTGAGAAAATCTTCACCACCTATCGTGATGCTGGTTTGGCATTCTAAACATAATGAAGCATATATGCTTTAATGGGAATAACAAGAACAGCTATGGAATATTATCACAGGCTTATCAAATTAGTTTAAGCATAATAGAAATTTATTCAGAAAGGAAATGAATGTGAACTTAAAAGTGAAAGCAATTTCAAATTTTAACACACTCGAAACAATATTCAATACAATTTTAAATGGTTACATTTAAATTTTTAAACTAAAAAAATATTATTTTTATTTCTTTTTGTTTTTTTTTTGAAATAAAGTAAAGTCCTGCCATTACATAAGCAATTATTATATGCCAATATTGTAAATTTTGTTTTTTTTTTTTGAGATCAGAGGCAAGTGACTCAATCAAAATTATTGATCTTACAATTTAAATAAATGTTTAATTTTTCAATTTTTAATTTTCATTAAAAATATTTATGCCATTATTGTTTCTTTTAAATTTAAATGTAACAAAATAAAATAATTTTTTTTATATATAAAAATATATATACACATCCTATAAAAGTTGTAACATTTACAAAAATTTTCCTCTTCTTGTTGTTAAATATAAGTTTTATTTACGAAGCAAATGCATTTTAAAAAATTATAATTATTTTAAAGTTAAAAAGCCTCTACGCCATAATATATAAAAAAATAAAATAAAATATTAAAAACAAATTAAATTTTGAATATCTTTTTGAGCTTCGTTTAGAAAGAAATCAATTTAATATATAATATGCTGCAAATTAAGCATTATTACTGTGATTGAAATATACATTTATACCGACGTCTCAATAACCATGTTACAATTAAAAATAATTATTCATTAGTTTTCTACACAAATTCTATGAAAAATGAAATTCTTTCGTATTTGTTGGTGCTGTTAACTGACGTAGTTACTCTAGTTTATTTTAATGTATATGTTTATGTTAAAGCTTTGGTATATATAAATTTATGAAATAGTTTAATGAGTGTAGTTAGTGCTTCCTTAGCTAAATCACTTCATCGGTCTACCACTACGCGTTCTTTCGTTAACGAACATTTCAAATACCATTTTCGCTGCGATGCAGTCATCTATTCGCACTACTTCAAAGTCACTTGATCTTAATTTACTGAATTATACAAATGTCGTGATAAAGTTTATACGATTCATTGTTTATTCGGATGTGGTAGTCATCGTCAACTCGTAGAGGATCAAAGGTTAAGTTAGGTGGCGGGTTTGTGCCCAAAAACGACTTGATTTCAAAAATTGGTCTGTTGTGATACCATATATTCTCATTGTTCATAAACAGATTAGAGGTCAGCATACGTGCAACTCTGAAAGGAACGACTTACCCATTGAAAGAAAGCTACCTTTACTACAGCTCTTCACACCATGACCTCGACTATCTGTTCGCCTGCACACACTAACCTTCGTTCAATTAACCGTTGGACGCACCCTATTGAAATGGCCAGATTTCTTCGTCTAGATCAGGGATAATGTTCAATATGAACCTCTCACCTAATTTCTCCACATTCTTCTTTATCTTCCCTAACCTCTACCCACCCACTTCCCTCCTCATGTAATCGTTTTGTTATCCTTTCATGTTATCTGCTTACAAGTCCCAGCGGGTTACGACAACAACGACTCCACCATTCAAACCAAAAATTTCTTAGAAAACTCTGTAATAGTGTCTTTGTTTCTGCGCCATACAGAACCACAGGTAGGATGAACGAGCTAGTGTACATAATTTAGATGAAATCTTTAGTCATAGTCACCAGTCATCAAATCGACATCAAAGCGATGCATTTTTCTTTTGCCAGTAGCCCTCATTCACCTTTAAGAACACCTTCACAGAATAATAAGATAACTGATATATTGAAAACTTATATTCCTTGACTTTAAAATTAATCATCTAATGTAGTTTTTATTATTATCTGAATATTGAATTCCTTAATAAACAGAAATTAAACTTATTTTAAATTTCCTTAATATTGTGTTTATTTATTTAATTTATTTTGGCACAATATTATGACATACATATATGTATATGAAAAGTTCGTTGTCTTTTTTAAATTGTAATAGTATAATAATAATAATAATAATATCGTAAAATGGAATATCAATCGTAGCAGTACAATATAAACGTATTTAGCACTTTTGAAATATAATAAAAAATTAAAATAAAATTTGAACATTAATACTATAAGTACACTTTAGTCATAATAATAAATTTTCAAATAATTGCTCTTCTATACCAACAATATCTAATGAGGTTTAAAGTACGTTAGCTATACTTTTTCATAAAAACTTTCCTAAAATAAGTATATAAACATCACTAATAGTTTATATGAAAATAGAAAAACTCTAAATTCTGCAAATATCAAATCACAATTCATAAAGTCAATGATTTCGGGAATAAATTTTGGTCAACGTAATCATTTATGATTTCCATTACACGCTCCGCATTAATCTTTGGCACCATAAGTTTATAACCAAAATCTTTTAATTTTGTATTGTCCAAATGCAAGTGCTTATGGTACAGCTGCTCCTCATCCATATATGGCGTGAGTGGTGTATTATTGATTTCGTTCTTTTGACATATTTCAGCCCAAGGAGCCATATGCTTATCGTTTATTTCGCTTACAGTATCAGTTAAACTTAACTAGAAATAAAGAATTAATAAAGAATGAATTATAATATATATTGAAGGTAGTATGGTACCTTTGTTAAGTTGGACATTACAATGCCAAAGTAGTCTATGTTTATTGTAAAAATATCAGCGAATAAATCTGATATGGTACCCTGTGTCGAAGCGGAGTCATCTACTATATTATACGTTTCTCCGGCAGCTTGTGAGCTCTGTGCTAAAGCCCATATAGCAGCACATACATCATCCACATGTACCGTATTGAAACGCATAGCATCATTCCAGAGCAGTTTCATTGTTTCGTTTAAGTATTTGTAGATAGCAGCAATGATTATGCGTGGCACTGAGGCAGGCAGTAAACAATTATGTAAATATATACATATGTAAATTAATATTTCTTTAAGTATGCGTATTAAAACTTACTTAGATATCGCTTATCACCAAGTCCATATACTACAGGCAAACGTACCACTGTATAGGAGAGATCATCGAGTGTGTGCAATTCTTTTTCGACTTTCAATTTTTGCTTTGCCACGCTAGTCCAAGGGTCCAATTTGCAATCCTCCTTTAATGGTGTCTTCTCCGAACTATTCACACAACCGGAACTCAGCTCAACAAAACGTTTCACTTTTATATTCACTGCCTCATGTGCACAGTTCATGCTGAGCTTAAGTATGCCCTCCTTATAAACTGCATCAGTCTGGTTTGGGCGTGTCTCGGCCGCACAATTAATTACAATATCCCACGTACGTGCCGTGGTAGTGTGCGGCATAAAAACAGTTTTACACGAAGCTGCAAGGATAAAAAAGTACACGTAGGTATGTCGCCTCAAATGACTCATTCATATTGACTTACCGGCATTTATTAGATTTGCACTGCAATATTCCACTTTTTCATTCCCGATTGCGGCTGTGTGCCGTTTATTCAGCCAAGCCATTTGTGGAGGCGTTTTATCTACAATTCGTATTTCCTGCGTAAGGTCATTTTCAACAAGATAAGTAACTAAATTACGTCCAATAAATCCGCACCCTGTTATTATCAATAATATAAGACCAAAAAAAACATTTAATTTAAGAATTTAATAATATGAATTGATAAGCGACAAAGCATTTAT